GATGTATAGTTTTCCTAATTTTAAATTAAGCACTATCATCCTGTTCTGTTTAAATGATTGTTTCTTGGTCTATGTATAGTTTCCCCCTCATGAGCACAATTAAATAAATTAGAATCCCCTTTTTTTGCAATATTATTTATAATTTGTTAAGATTCACAGAGTTGAATACCTTTGCAAACTTAATAAAGCCCAGATAAACATCTTTCTGGGATTTTCTGCTTTTAGCCAAGGTCCACCTGACATCAGCAGTGATACTAAGTCCTTTCCCGAATCTACAGCCAGAATTTCTGACAGCTTGTTGTGTGATCTTGAAATGCTCTGACAATGAATGTTACATCACTTCTCTTCAATTTGTGGTTCTTGGAATAATAGAGCAACTGTGTGAAAAACAAGAACTTAAAAAGTCCCTGAAATAAAGCCTTTTGTTTTCATAAAGATTAGGCTGACATTTTTTCCTCTCCACTTCAAGGTACATGAAGTTGTCATGAATTGGAGTTGGCTCAGTGGTAAGTGGTAGGGTTTATACACTTGGAAGAATTAACAACCAAGCCAAGGTTAGTGAACGGTATCATTTTTTAGGAATGAACTGGGAAAGTTCTGGGCACCTTTTTCAAACCAGGTATTCTTCTAAAGGGGGTGCTTCCTCCTTGAAACTTACTACTCAAAAAAAGTTACTGGGGGTGTGTGTTGCATCTGTCAACTCTTAGAGTGGCCAAAACTGTTGCTGTAAATATGGTAATTTCCAAGCGCACTGGGGCAAAAGTCTCTTTTTATAAGTCCATTGGGTTCTATGGATATTTTCTGAAAAAACCCCAGCTACTATCCAGTTTCTGGGATCAAGATTTTATAGCAGCAAAGTGTGTATGTATGTGGCTGTGCACTTGCTTGCTTATTAATTTATTTACTTACTTATCTTACTGATAAACTTTTCATTTGTGCCAAATTTGAAAAAAATTAAAAATTAAATTCCTTCTTCCAACACTTTTGTTTCTGCTGTCTTAAGGTGTATGTCTACCTTGTTTATGTAGTAACTTGGCAGAAATGACAGGACATTTTGGCCTGGCAGGTAGATCCCCAGAACCAGTAGGAAGAATGACATGTTTCCAACTGAATTACCTGTTCTCTGTGGGGCTGCTGGAGTCTTGCCAGTAGTGTCTTAGTATTTTTGGAAAATGAAGGGATCAGAAGATGAATTCTTTGTTTAAAACTATGATGTTTATCTATTTCTCTATTATCTGATCCTGTCAAAGATCTCCTCAGAGTGCTAAAGAGTAATGATGTCAGTCTAGAGACTCAGGTGTGCCTGATCCAGGCCATAGTCTTCTCAATTTCTTGCTATGCATCTGAGAGTTGGACAATGAATAAAGATGATAGAAGAAGAATTGGTGCCTTTGAGTTACGGTGCTAAAGAAGAGTTTTGAATATACCGTGGACTGCCAAGAGAGCAAACACAACCATCCTAGTATCTCCTTCCTTTCTTCCTTCCATCCTTCCATTCATCCTTCCTTCCTTTCCTTCCTTCCTCCCTCCCTCCTCTCCCTTCCTCTCCCCTCTCTTCCTTCCCTCCATCTTTCCTCCCTCCCTCCCTCCTTCTTTTCTTTTTCTTGTTGTGTGCCATCAAATCGGATCTGACTGGTACAGGAGGAGATGGCCCCTCCGGCTCCAGAGGAGCATCTGGTGGATTTGAACTGCTTGCCAAACAGGTCTATCCTAGAGAGGGTGAAGCAAGTTTGCTCCTTGGAGGCAAGGCTTTTGAAACTCCATCTCACATACTTTGGGCATCTTGCCAGGAGGGACCAGTCCTTGGAGAAGGACATCAACCTTGGAAGGGCAGAGGGTCAGAGCAAAATAAGGAGACCCTGGATGAGATGAACTGACACAGTGACTGTGACCAGGGGGTCAGGTGTGTCAGAGACAGTGAAATTGGCTCAGGATAGGGCAGGTTTCAGAGCCATTGTTCATAGGGTCTCAGTTGCAGTTGACTTGACAGCACTTAATAACATCAACAAATTATGATGCTGAGTTTGTTATTTTGAATATATGCTATCCATATAAGAATCCATGTACAAAGAGACATCTGCCCTCTTCCAGAGGTTCAGAAATTAGGATATATATCATGATACATGAGGAGAGATGTAAACTGAAGACAATGCACATGGGAAGTCACAAGGCATGGTAGTTACAGAGATGGGCTCTGGAGCTAGATAGACATATCATGACTGTCTGGTTTGATTTCCTCAGGTACCCAACAGGAACACTAACAGCACCTACCTGACTTGGTAACCATGCACTTGCCATTACATAATCTACATTAAAAGGTCAGAATAGGGCTTGGTTTATAGTGAGTAAAAGAGCTCTGGTGTTATAGGGAGCAGAATGTTGCCATGCTAGCCAAAAGGTCAGCAGTTCCAATTCAGCAGCTGCTTTGAGAGAGAAATATTGGAAATCTCCCACAAAGATTTATAATCTCAGAAAGCAGTCACTGGAAGTCAGCACTAACTCAAAGGCAGTAGGATTTACAGTGCACAGTCTGTAACTGTTAGCTACTGATTAGTATAAACAGCAAATTAAGAGAGTCAGAGAAAGAATTCCATTTTCACAGTCAACAGTTTAATTTAAACAAATTGTTCCTTGGATGACAATTTTCTCTTAAGTAAGCTTGTATTTGTTTTTTTCTGAGATTATATACACTCCTGGAAGAAATGCATATTTTAGAAGATATATTTTTTAGAACAAAGTAGACCTCCCCTCCAATAACCTGTTTTTGGAAGGTTTAAACGCACTTAAAGATGACCTCTTTCCATCTATAGTGCTAAGCAATTATTACTACACACTGACCTATGTCCCACCAAAAGATAAATTAAAGTCCTAAGCCTGTGCCCCTGAAGGTGACTTGTACTGACTTGCTGAGTTGGTTTTGACTTTTAGTGACCCTCTCCTGGAGTTCTGAGGCTATAATTTTTACAGGAGGAGACTTCCATCTTTCTCCTTTGAAGTGACAGGTGGAGTCAAACCCCTGACCTTTCAGTTAGTAGTCTGATATATCAGACACTATACCACCAAGGCTCCTTTTCTTTGAAGGTCACTCAATCAGTTCTGACTCACAGAGCTCCTCTGCTGGAGCTGCAAATAAACATGGGAGGAAAACGACCATCTTTCTCCTTGCTGGTAGATTCGAACCAGTGGAGAAATAGGAACTAAACTACCAGGGTGCTCTTTCTTTGAAGACAGTGCCAGTTAAGTCATACTGGGTGGGCCTCATTTCTAATCTCTTCTGAGTGGTGTGTACCACCATGAAGAAATTGCCAGTTCAATGCATCTGTCTGAACCCAAGTCTCTGTGCTAGAAAGTTCCTGAGTTAAGACACAGAAGGAAACAGTGACCTTCCTCCAGAATGGAGAGAGGAAACCTTCCCCTAAAGTCATCACTCTGAATATGAACTCCTAGCCTCTTAAATGGTGAGAAAGTAAACTTCTGTTTGTTAAATCCACCCACTTGTGGTATCTCTGTTATGGCAGCACTAGATGTGAAGACACTGGCAAGCACTCCATACAGAATGTTCCCAGTTGGCAGGGAGAGATAAGTTGGCAACCTCAAATACACAATTTTTAATCACAGGCTGATTAACAAATTAATAATGGAGTTCGGTATAAGAAATACTTTTATGAGAAAAATTAACATTGAATAATCCAACTCAGGGAGGGGGTGAGGCCTGCCTAAGAATCTGCGATTTTAGAAAATGGAACCAGAAAAAATTAGGAATATTGTTACTAATGCAAACACCAAGTTTGAATGTAAGGTAGTAAAAAAAAAAATTAGACAGGATATCTCTGTTTCTAATACAATTATTAGAAAATCTCATTTTAAGCTTTTATGGCAAATAATGGCCAATCCTGAGGAAAGAAAAAATAAAAATCGTAGGGCTTCAAATTAGTATGATGTCTTTACAGACTCAAGGTTCATTTTCAAATGATAGCAAATTGTATCCAGACATAGGTGAAGTAGAATTCCTGTTACAGAAAATCTGTCAATGGTAATTAGAGGAGGATTCTGGAGCAATGAGAAAGAAATCTTTTTTTCTTTTTTTTTCACATTTATGATTGTTCGGACTTTGAGGAGTTACTCAGGATAGCACCGGAAAGGGCAAGGTTCAGATCTGTGGTTCATAAGGCTGATGCGAGCTGTAGTCATTTCAACAGCACCTAACAACAATAACCACCATGGATGTCTGAGCATAGTCCACAAACGTAAACAGTATGTCATGTAAACAGTTCTGTGGGAGCTACAGCATTCTAACTCATCTGGGGCCATCAGGCAAGACGAGAAGAATTTGTGCCGTTTGGAGGCATTTCTGAACATAAGCATATGTTTTGTCATGTTAAATCACCAAATTGTTCTGTTGAGTTCCTTATTGTTTCCATGGCATATTGAGGAGCTAAAATCAGGCCCAAGTCCAACTTCTCAGCAGTGCTGTGGATGAAAAGAAGCCTGTGCTCAAAAGAATCCTCTAACCCAAGACCATGCTTCCTACTGAGCTTCCAAGGACAGAGGGGAAGGAAGGGAAGGGCATGAAGAATCTCTGCTGAGTTTAATGACAACTATGCACTATTTATAAAATGGGAGAATTATGAAGAAAGATCCCTTTATCAGTCATTTATTATTTGAACCCATTCTAATCAGTGTTACTTTGCAAATTCCCAGACCCACTGTTCTAGAGTTGATTCCAACGCACACAGCAACCTTAGAGTACAAAGTAGAATTACCCTATAAGGTTTCCAGGGTCTGTGAGTCTGTGCTGGACCCCTGACTTTTCAGTTAGCAGCTGAGGTTTAACCACTGTGCCACCAAGGCTTCTTCTCCAATTAGGTAAAAAGAACGAAAATATTCATTCATTCACAAATGCCACTGACATGCAGGTAGAAAACGGGAAAATGATGAGATGGCACATTCCTGTAAGGGAAAGTAAGGCTCAGATCCACCCCAGCCCACCAGAGACTCACGTCATATCCGCTGTTCCGGATTCCACGCCGGGGTCGCTCCCGTGTCACCAGAAGGTCCATCTCGGTTTCCCCTGGACTCGGGCTGTTCAGAGACTGCCGGCTTCGGTAGACAGAGTTCTTCATCTGTTGCCTGAAGAAATTTCAACAACTGTTATGATGCAGCAAATGCCCTGACAGATGGAATTCTCCACTGATCCAAACTACAGGCAACCAATGAAGGGTTTGGATTTGCCTCACAAACCTCAGAACTGATGGTATTTGCTCCCTGACCACAGGGGCTGTAGAAAGAGGAGAATAAAGGTTTTGCTCCCTGATTCCCGAACTGTAAACACTTAGCTGAAATGTAAAGGCTTTTACATATGGAAACGAGGGACCCAAAATCTATTTCAACATTGCAACCTAATCTAAAATTCTGCTGATGGAAAGAAAAAGGCCAGGGGTTTTCCCTTGACCCTCTGGCATAGCTACCACTGGAAGAACAAACTTGCCTTTGTTGACTCAGCAGCTTCCTGTTCTTTTTACATTCTTTTGACTTCACAGACAGGGTTCTATGATTATTAATAAACTCTGTGACTAATGGACTGCTTAATATTGCAACTGTTGACAGACTTTCTTTTCCGCCTCATCAGAGAGGCGGCCCTTTTAGCTAAGGATCCATAAACTACAGAAGACTTCTTCCTTCCTCTCTCCTTTTCTCCTCTAATGTTTACTGATGAGCTCTGCTGGCTTAGGGGGTAGGAGTTGGGCTGCTAACCTGCAGGGATCCAGTTCGAATTCACCAACTCCTCCAAAGGAGAAAGATGGGCATTCTTCCGTGCAATTTACTAGGGAGCTGTAGTGGTTTAGTGGTAAGGAACTGCCAACCCAAAGGCACACAGTTCAAGTCCATGAGCGGCTCTATGGGAGAAAGATGAGCAATCTACTTTCATGCGATTTACTGCCTCTGAAAACCTGTTGGCGAGTCAGCTATGAGTTGGTTTTGGCTCAGTGGTACACACCCACATGACATTTACTGAGTGGCTACTACATAAATATGCCAGGAACCTTGGAAGAAGATGAATTTCTATGACTGAACAAGCCAGCCATGGCCCCTGCCCTCCTGGAACTTACATGCTAATGTAGGAAGACAATTAACACAATAATTTCAGAGTGATGGTAAGTGCTATTAAAAAAAACTAAGGCTAAACAAGGTTCTCCAAAAGGGGACAAAAAACTTGAATAGACATTTCACCAAAGAAAGTATGTAAGTAACTAGCAAAACCGTGAAAAGATGGTCAATATCTTGTCATTAACTAAAAAACACACTGTAATCAAGCTGATTCTGACACAAACAGTTGCCTTCCATTAGTGTTTTTTTACACTTTTTTTTATTAATTTCAATGAACATTTATAGAGATTTTGGATTTCCATTCATTCATTGTTGCACTTTTCTCCCCACCCACCCCACCCCAACCTCCAGTTCGCTCTTCTCTTTGAAGAGTAAAAGAAAAATTCCTTCATTGGTATACAATCCCCCCACACAGCCTTACCCCCACCCCGAGTATACTCCACTCTGCACCCTTCATTCCGGACTCTTACGATAATCATAATGCCCTAAAATAAACTTCTTTCAAACTGTTCTCTCCCTCATCCGTTTCAATGCAGTATACATAGTTCATCCAGTTTTTCTCATTCTTACCCTAACCCTGATGTCAGTCCCATTCTATGGCAGTGGCACTATGCAGTGTTTGTCCTTTTGTGACTGAGATATTTCACTCAGCATAATGTCCTCCAGGGTCACCCATTAGTTTTTAAGGCTGGAAATCATGATACGGGAAGATGGTCTAACTCTTGTGGAGCAGAACAGCAGGTGGATGTGAGTTGCTGACCTTTGGTTAACAGTGTAACATGTAGATGCTGCACCAGCACAGCTCCTTCACTGGTCATTAACTGACTCACTCACTGGCACTGAGTTGGAACCAACTCAAAGCTGGTCCTCCAGTGGGTTTTCAGAGGCTGTAAACCACACAGGAGGAGACTGACTATCTTTCTCCTAAGAAATAGTTGGTGGCCTCAAACCACCTGCCCTTGGGTTAGCAGCAAAGCTCTTTATCCATTAGTCCAGCAGAGCTCTCTCACTGGTCACAGTTGCTGTAGTCATGTACCTTCCAGTCAGAACCAACTAGAACTGACCCTCCAGAGGGTTTTCAGAGGCAGTAAATCACATGGGAAAAGATTGCCCATATTTCTCCTGCTGGTGGATTCAAACTGCCTACCTTTGGGTTGACAATGCAACTCCTTACCACTCAGCCACTAGAGCTCCCTCATTGGTCATTAAAACAATACAAAGAAAAACCACAGTGATTTGCACTTCATATGCTCTAGGATGACGGCTGTTATTTTAAAAGCAAAGAAGAACCCAGAAAAAGAACATGTATTAGCAAGGATGTGGAGAAACTGGAACCTTCGTGTAATACCAGAGAAAATGTAAAATAGTGTAGCCACTGTGGCAAACAGTTTGGCAGTGCCTCAGAAAGTTAAACAAAAAATTACCAGCCATCCGACTCCTAGGTCTAGGCCCAAAAGACATGAAAGCAGAGAGTCAGATACCTGCACACCGATATGCATTGCAGCACTATTCACAATAGCCAAAAGGTGGAAAGAGCTCAAGTGTCCATCAACAAACGTATGACTAAACAAAGTATGATAGGTACATACAATGCAACCCTATTCAGGCCTAAAGAGAACTGACATTCTGATACATAGTGGACCATAGGTATACCCTGAAAATACAAAACAAAGTTCAAGAAGTCAGACACAAAAGGACAAACACTGTATGATTTAACCTACATGAAATTTCTAGACTAGAGAATGCTAGGTAAATTCTAGACTAGATAAACACTAGATAAGAGCACAGGGCAGATCACTGAATCTCATGAGCTGGAGGGGAAGGGAATTATTTATATAACAGGTATAGCATCTCTCTATGGGCTGATGGAAAAGTTTTAGAAACAAATTAGTGACAGTTACACAACATGGTGATGTGCTTCTGGATTGTGAATGTGAAACTTTTAAAAAGGAAATTTTTAAAATTAAAAAGCAGCAGTACAATGAATGAATCTCATCAATTAAAAAAAAAAGGAAAACTTTTATAATGTGTCTATTTTCCAAATAGAAACCAAACCAGCAGCCTAAGGAGATGTGACAGAGGGTGACGTGCATGAGGAATGACTTCAGAGAGTGTGGTCAGGGCAGGTGTTTCTGAGGGGGTAACGCTAAAGTGGAGGCCTGAATGGAATCACATGCACGTCCAAGCACAGGGCATTTTGGCCATGAAGGCTGTCCACTCAGCAAGCCCTCGGAAAGCTAGACAATTGTCACCATCACCTTGCTGTCACTTGTCATTAAAACTGTTGAGTCAAATCCGACTGATGTGACCTCATGGCTCCCTCCACCGATTCCTTAATGGTGACTTTTTGGACTTAATTTGCCTGAGTCACCTCTGGGTGGGCTCAAACCGCCAATCTTCCAGTTAGCAGCGGAGCGTGCTTACACCATTGGTGAATCCCCCTTGTTATTCTTGCCTTTTGAGGACTGAGAAAAGAACAGAGTGAGGAGTGTGGCTGTCTTTTCCAGAGTGCCAATATTAAGTAATGAATGGTCTCTGGTCTTTCTCCAGTGGAGGGTGAGGCGACAGTCACATGGTCTCCAGAGTGACAGAGCTGGAATAAGATAACAGGCTACGTGCTTCTCATCCAACAGTCTCTCTGTGTAAATAAATGACTTATATTTTTTCACAGTATCTGCCTTCAGGGAACTTGCTAGACACCACCTATTTCATGTGTTGGTTTTAAAGATTCTACCTGTTCATTGGTTGAAGAAGTTGCATCATTATTTTTCTAATTATATATCTGAGGCCTGTTGGATGTATACACTTTTTTGGGTGTGTGTGTGTGTAAGGGATGGCTAGTATTAGAACTGGTAAAAAGATTACAGAGTAGAAGTATGTTTGACCTCCCTCTCATGATAATCAGCATTGTGTGATGGTGATTCTCATTATCCCCCGAGAAGTTAATAGGTTCTGATGGTACTACTATTCCTACTTGCATTTCACAGCAATATAGGTCTCTAAATCTTGGTTTTGTCTACAACACAAAATGCTTTCCAACTGAAAACATTTAAGTATTCTTTTCACCTTATTTTTATTTTATATTGGTTTGCATATAAAATTCATATATACTATGTATAATTCACATACATTGCATCTCACACTTTCCTATACTCACACTGTGATGATTTTGGGTTCCCCCCCAGTTCAAGGAGTGCCCCTTTATTAGAAGAAACAATACAGACAATGCTCTGAGTGAATCACCAATGGAAAATGTATTTGAAAGTGTTTCTCTCATTTCAGAATGAAGAAATCATATTGTAAAATGTGTCCTGAAGGAGTCCTTATAGTCCCTGTAGAAGAGTGTATCTAATAGGGCCTCCTTTACCACACACACACATTGTGTTTTACAAAGTTAATCACTATTGATATCTGTGATACATACCCTATCCTTTCAGATCCTCACCTGACCCTTCCCAACTCCCTCATGCCCCTCGCTCTGCTTGACCCACCTAACTCTGTCATCCCAGTGGACTACTGGGATACATACCCTTTTTGATGATCATACAAGTGACAGCATCAAAAGCAGACATCAGAACTCTCAAAGCAAAGGATTTCTGTTACAACAGCCTTAGGAATAAAGTAGAAACTGTAACATTTACTCTCTCACTTTGAGGCACTTACACTAGTTTAGAGAGTATCTGTGGACTTCGTTTGCTTGGCATCTATGATAAACTTCTTTGATATGAACTTTATAAATGATCATTGGGGCTGTCCTTCCTTCATAGGCAGTCAGGTGACTTAAGCCGGACCAATCAAGATACCACATCCCCAGGGCCATAGTGACTGGCCTGACCAAGGAAGATCCAATCAGACATAGTCCTCAGGCTTTTGGTAAGACAAGAAAGAAAGACATGTTCTCTTGTTGAGGAGCTTTTCTCTCTCACAAGAGATAGGATATAAGCCTACAGCTACTGGCAGCCAGTTTGCCACCATGAGGTAAAAGCCTCCTGAATAAGGGGCCAGCAGAGATGAAAGACCAA